GTGCCACTTAATCAGCTGTGCGGTGTTCAAGGCCAAGGAAATGCTATGATCGACCTATTCGTGTCTGGCGAATAGTCGTGTGTCAGAAACCGTACGTGAGCACGACTTTTGGCATCAACGGGCTTCAGTCGGCCCTGAATGAAGGCGACGCTTTGCATGCAAGTTTCACAAACGACTGGCTGTTTGGATACTTGGATTTGAGCCCTTTCGACTAGAAGTGATCATTTCAGGGCTGTGGGATGAAGGAGAATAGATAACGGTGGGGCAGGACTGCATGCGTATGGGAGGACAACCGCTGAGCCTTAGCCCGGGCAGAGACCCCTAGCAGTGTGTGCCTAATGCCCGGTCGGGGCCTCCCTCCCCAGCAGCCTCTCGGCCCACCCGTGGCTGACGCACGCACCCCGCCCCGGATGAACGCAGCATCGCGAGGATTCATGATAGAGTAAGGAGAGAGGATCAGAGAGTCGGATCTCGGACACAAATCTTATTTTTTAGTATGTCGCACAGGAACCTGGGCTCTGGTTCGAGTCATCACGGAAATAAGACTGTGAATTGAATAAGTTAAAAATGGCAAGTTGATGGACTACAGGCGAGTCAGCCCGTCCGCTTTAGTGGCAATTCCGACGCGTTCAGTTTGGCGACGACTGACGCACAACGACTTTCCATGACGCACTAAAGCGATGATAATGAGAAACGTATTGACTTGGAAGTGAGAGTGTGTGGTCCGTAGCCGCCTTTTACACTTAGCAAATTAAAAGTCACAAGTGGGCTTATTTGATCATATCTAATACTTGCCACGCTTCTATTAATGTGGAACATTCCTTTAAAGAGAATTTTCCACATTTTGAGAAATTGAAGCCAGCTCCATGTGACGAACTAAACTCGGTTGTACTTATTGGCGTACTTTTAAGCGGAAAACAGCACTTAAAACAACAAAAATTTTCTTTTTAGTAGACGTGCTCTTCAATACGTCATTGTTTGATTGTATCATAGAACGTTCGTGTGACTTTGAGGTGATATCAAATTAGCCGTGCGAAATTGCCACCGTAGTACTTGTAGTAATTCAAACTCACCGAGAGACGGCAGTGGTTGTGCCGGAATGTGTTTGCTGAGCTAAATATTATTATTTCTCGTGTTTTGGTCCTTTATCGTGGTAAGATTTCCTATCTTTCACTGAGTTTAAGACGTTTCCATGTATTCACACACTCACTTATTGCGTTATTACTTTGTTATCCGATTGAAAGTCTTATCTCCGTAAAAACTAGCATCTAGTAGGAGATCTGGTCCAGCCTTTTATCTGCTCTGGCACAAAACGAGATTTGTAATTCACGGGTGTACAGCTTGCTGAGCATGTTCGAGAGCCAGTTGATTTATCCATTATCCTTGGATTCATAATTGGATTTATATCCATTATATTTAATTCATTATATTTGGAAATCATGCTCGCGAGTGCCAGATATGAGCGGCTCCCAGTTCTCGCCCCACCTTCCCTGTGTCCGTGTCGCTCCGCCTTGTGGCGCCAATGATGGAGAGCCCCAGCGCGCCATCCGGGGCTGAACAGTGTGCCGCCCATGGGCGTAGGAACGGGGGGGGGGGGCAGGGGGGCCATGCCCCCCTCCCCCACTTTTCAAGCTGGGGGGTCTGCAATGTTAGCTGCCCCCCCCCCCCACACTTTTCAGATTAAGTTTGCGTTTTGCTGATTTTTGCACTGCATTAAACATGCATGCCGATTTACCTAGTTCACTAGCCATCTCCCTTAAGATACGTCATCTTTCTCGTTTGCTATTGGCCATCACTTAGTATTACGGCCGCAAGGCCGACGCTGCCCGGTCTGGAGACTGCAACACCGGGCGGCGAGGCTGCTATTGCTATGACTTGCGAGCACGCATGTTCAACACCATATTGCGTAGTTTTTTTATTATAAATCAGCTTTGACAGGATCTTGCGCATTATACGACGAACATGGGCTAGCCATGTTAATGCAAACTATGAACCCATTTCATCTACAATCTACAGTCAGGGAGAATTAAATATCTCTGAAGAACACAGAAAAACATGGAACTGGAGTCTATGTGAAAACTATCTGACTGCCTGCGGTGATCAGGGATGTTGTTGCGTACGTGAGGGTTCCTGTGCTGACCCGGGGCTAACTGCGCGCATCAGAAGGCCTCCCGTGTCAGAGATGGGAACAATGTGATGTGATATATCCTTCTAATAACCTCTGGATGGACCAGGAGGTCCCGCCCCGTGCCACCAGAATGAAAGCCAGAAGACAGTTCACGATGGGACGGTATAGCCCTTCAGCCCTTACCGGAAACGGTAATGTACCCCTGGTCTTCTACTCAAGAGGCCCCTTGCCCAGAAGGAAATAAGGGGTCTCATTATTGCTGGGTAAAGGGGTGTCTCATTATGGTTCAGTAACGTGGGCCAAAGTAAGCTTAAAAAACAAACAGAGTCATGCTTTGTTTGCCTGAGACCGTTCGTTTATTTCAGAACGTACTATTGAAACAAAATACATCAAAATGCTTGAACATGCCTCCCGCAACCTCGAGAGCAAGGACAGGAATGGTCTGGGTTGCAACTTCCGTAAAACCGATGAGGTTCGGCCACTGCAAGCGGCACCAGACAGCGGGCGTCGTGTCAGTCTGTCTTCTGGACAGATAAATATCTGCGGAAACACGAAAAATAGAGATTTTACCTTCACTTTTCCAGTTCAACCAACAGATTCCAGCCCCACTTCGCGGTGCTTTAGGAACCAATCCGTTCTTTTCATCAATCTAAAAATTGCACGCGTGAAATATACCCTCAGACTGCCTTCTAAATACAATATCTGACGTCATGAAGCGTCCAAGGATACTTTCTCAGAAGCGTCATCATTTTCGTCCACCCGTTGGCCACAACTTGATACTAGCTGCTAGGCCGACGCTGCGCGGCCTAGGAGACTGTAACGCCTGGGGGCAAGGCTTGCGTTTCTAAATTTTTCGAGCGCGCATGCTCAAAATTACGCCACATTACTTGCATAACTAAATAATTAAAGAGTCTAAAGGCAATCATTTCAGAAACGTCGTCATTTTCATCCACAGGTGGGCCACGGCTAAATGTTAGCTACTGGACTAACGCTCCGCGGACTATGGAAACTGCAACACCTGGTGTCGGGGTTTTTGTTCCTAAGATTTGCGAGCGAGCATGTTAAAAAAGACACGTTACATGAATTGTATCACTAATCGATTCTGACTGAATGGTGAACATTTGCAGGCAAACATGGCTTGGCCATATTAATACACGGTTTTGACCACTCGATTTGCAACCAAATTATCGTCTTCAAATTTGGATCAAACATATCGATCTACAATCTATGTTCGCGATGTCCTCAGTGTCTGTACAACCCAGATAAAAAAAATTGGCAAAGCTTCTGAATTCTATCGGTTTAGAAAGAGTAAGCTAACCATTGTAAGTTAAGAGCGCCGGTGATTTCTTCCATGCAGTCGTTCAACGCCTGATCTGCAGCTTATTGACCTTAAAATCCAAACAGAATTGAGCTCACGGTAGCGCCTGGTTTTTGTTCTGGTTAGGAGGTAAAAATAACAATAAAACGAAGAAAATCGTGTCACTTGTTAATAAGTAAGCCATATTCGGGGATTTGGGGGGGGGGCGACCATAAGCTGGGCTTTTGTCAACCTTGTGTTTCCTCCTGGCAAGGCTCTGGCTACGCCCCTGCCTACACACAAAAGCAGATCAAGTCACGTACGTTGCATGATGGGCAAGGTAGATAGCTTCCCGGAGGTTATTTTTCTGCGATGGTGTGGTATAAGGGAAGATATTTCGGGAAAGCACTGTTGCGGGTGTCCAACACATGATTCATACACCATGTAGAAGTACCGCTGATCCAAAAGTGTGCAACAAAGTAGCCACACGATCAGCTCGCAGTCAGTCATGCGGGAGACATCCGGGCCAGGGCAGTGACCACCGACAGCAGACAGGAGCAGTGACCAGATGAGGAACATATGACAGGTGGGCCTTAACATGTGGATTGGTTCTTACAAGGGAATCTCCAGTTTTATGGATTTTGTCACATTGTTTCTAACAGTTTTAAGCTTCCGAATTTGTTTTCGCCTAAAATGCTGCGACAATTATTACGTCTTGAAAAGCAGCCAGCAAAATGAAGGCGCATGAAAAACCTGGCACACTGTGAGCCATTGATCCACTTTCAATATTCTCACCAACCTATTTCCATGCCGTATTTTGGCATCTACACTGCGCAGGCAAATGCTTCCTTAATACCCAAAATACCTACCCGCTCGTGCAATTTCGCCTCCCCATGAAAGACAACATTAAAATGAACGAATAACCTAGGAAAGCTGGATAGCCTTACTTGCCAAATGACAGATGAGTCGAATAGGCAAGATTTTGCGCCAGTGATAAACAGCTCTAGATGCATGATGCTAGATGCTAGATGCATAACAGCCATGACATTTGAATAATGAGCGATAACAATCTCCATACCTACGCCCCCCTCTGCCCCCCCCCCCCCCCCGGCCATCGGGCTTCGCTTTCCAGAAAAAGTTCCTGAAGTACGCCCTGAGCTTGCCCCCTCCCCCACTTTTTGAAATGTTCCTACGTCTATGGTGCTGCCTGTACCTCGGAGATAGTGATGCGGCCACAGCGTATGATGTGGCACAGTGGTAACACGCTCCGGGTCACTTTGTCACACGCAAACAGAGGCCATGTGTCCTGGCGCGTGGACCTAAAGCTGGAGAACGGTAACTCCGCTCCGCTCCCACAGCTGTTGGGATTGTGCTTGTTACGGGTAAAATATTTAAGTAAATTGACCGACGGGGATTTTTTTATTTCTCCTATGGTGCAAGCCACCGAGTAAAAACTATATGCACATTCGTACATTCACGAAAACTCACGCGGGTTTTGTATACAATCGGCCTTATGATGGAACCAATGTTGTTGCAGCCCGCGACGCTTGTCCTTACCTTGAATTTCTATTGCAGTGTTCCAGGACGTGCACATCATGATCTTCATCGGCTTTGGCTTCCTGATGACGTTTCTGAAGCGATACGGTCTCAGCTCTGTGAGTCTCAACTTTCTGATAGCCGCGCTGGTGCTGGAGTGGGCTATCCTGGTGAACGGCTTCTTCCACCTGCACCACGGTCTCATCGAAGTCGACATCATCAGGCGAGACGCAAGCATGAGTCAGAGTAGAAGTCGAGCAGCCAGCTGGAGTCGAGTCGCTGGTTATGATCAACCGGGGAGTTGATTTATATTGTATTGTTTGATGCTCCTGTTAAATTTCTTTTGTGACGACTCGACAGAAAACATCCTCATTTTAATTGCCTAGTTTTTAATTATTTAATTTCTAGTCTTATTTAGACTGTCAAACCGTTCCGAACTTAGATTGCGTCGCTCACCCAACATTAGCGGCCGCCGACATTGGCTCCAAGTTCAGCCGAGGCGCTTTGGCGTCGCCTTTGTGCATCACCCGATCATCAGGCGGCAGTCACTGAAGCCTGTGTGCCTGCATGTGTACGTGCCCATGTGCATGCGACGGCATTGCTCGACCGCATTACTTCGAACATGACCGACGCAGACATTTGGTGTAAATGCCGCCTTCCTGCCCCGCCTCCGGACACCCATCACCCTGCCTCTGAGTCATCTGAGTCATCGCAGGAGCTGCCCGGCACGGCCATGGGACGTCGAATAACGTCCGGAGCAGCGATCGCCCCGGCGCTGCCGACCATGCCGGCTCCATCTCGGCCCGCTAATAGCCACGCCAGCAGCAATCACAGAGTCGCTGTCGACGATGCCCGGCCCGGCTTCACCGGACCGTTAACACGCGCTCGGGCGGGTGGGGGTCAAACTGACCCCCCCCCGAAGGTTTTTTTGAAATGGTTTCTGAACGGCGCGGCATAGCCCTGCCAAATTTTGCATAGCTGTATACAATTGAATAGCAAATCGTTTGTCATAACAATCTTAGATGTACCTCGTAAGGTCGCTGACCTATGGCAGGTCAAAGTCAGGCCATGGTTTCAGCAAAGGCAATTTCTAGGGAATCGTTCAATCTGATGCAACAACGGAGTGTTAGACGAAGCCATGCATCTCTGAGATGCTTTCTTAGGCACCACAAATATTGGATGAGCAAATTACGTTGACCTAAGGTCAGGTATGAAGGTCAGACCAAGGTCAAAACCAACCTGATTTATTACTCTAGCGCTTGCTGTATGGGATAGTTTCTGGTGCTCATTTTGAATTTATTGATAGCAGGAACCTCATTATGCATCCTCCATTGACTTCTTAAAGGTCAGAACAGGTCATTGACTTAAGATGACCCGGGTCGACCTTTTGTTCTAGGAGCATACTGCTTAGCGTAATCTTTGTCGCTTATTCAGATGAAAAACTCAGAACAGTTTTGCATTATTTTGGCCACCATGAGCTCCAAAAGGTCAAAAAAGGTCCTTGACCTCCAATGGGCTTGTGATTTTTTGCTTAGAAACAGTTGCCTAGGTTCTGGGGGCACTTTGCGGACCAACCTGGAATTTGACCTTGTTTGACCTTATTTGACATGAAGAGCATGACCTAGGAAACTCAAACTTTGCCCTCAGTGAGCCCACATACAGGCCAAGACACCCTGTAAATTTGGTGTCTCTAGCTTTCTTAGTTCTAGAGATCTCAGGGGGGGGGGGCAAATTGACCCCCATTCGAACGAACGGCATCTAGCCGGCCACCCGGGCGCACGTTAATGGCGCCCCAGACAGGAGCCACCGGATCAGCTCTCTGACTGTTGGAGACAGAATTCTGTCCTGTGCCATTCTACCAACAGCAATCCTACGTAGGAAAAGGAACGAGGCCTCCGTCATGATGCATACTTCATGTTTTATTTCATGCATTCGCAGTTTAGTACGATGAAAAACATGGTAGGAATGAATGAATAACGCATATGTGATAAATATAGTCTCTTCGTTGTCCAGGGCCACCTCTGAACACTTACACAGCTTCTTTTTAGCCTGCTGAGTGCGGACTTCACGGCTGCGGCCGTACTCATATCGTTTGGAGTCGTTCTGGGGAAGACCTCTCCCTCGCAGCTCATAGTAATGGCGCTTTTTGAGGTGAGATGCTTCAGCGGTCACGCTTGGCCCACTCTCTCGATCTGACACCAGCACTGCTGCTGTCTTATGACAGGTCGCGTGCCTGAAGGTGAAAACACCAGTCGTTTGGATTGGTTTTGGCACTCAGTCTAGTCAAAGGCAGTGTGTACCACGCATCATTATGAGGTCTGTGTCGTAGATATTGGAAAAGGAAGTGCCATATTTGTTTCTGCAAAAATAAGTATAGTTTTATGTCATGTTCTAATTCAACAGTAAGCCTTCTTGCTCATCAATTAAAGACACGCTGTACGCTTTTGCGGCTATCTTCAGGGAAATATCCTTAGAAGTTATTGCTGTGCTTTTGAGGTGAGCATTCAAGGCGGTTCGGTGGTGTGAAAAGCAGACATAGAAACAGATTATTCCGAAATTACTTCGTGCTCCTAGCCTGGTATGGCAAGTAGCATGCAGTTAGGTAAGTCCAGTTAGGCGCCTGAGCTTCCAGTGAGGCTCCTAGAAGGCAGTGCTCATCTGCGTCAAGAAGAAACCAAGAAGGATAAAACGTCTGTTAGCTTTAGCGCTGTGATTTAAGCCTTACAAAATCGTTTGCTGTTCTTTTGTACACTTTGTGCGTGCGCATTCCATCTTTGAGTTTGCCTCATAAGAAGTTGATGGAGTTCTTTGGCGTTCGGCATTGCGTGTTGTATATCCACATAAAAACCCGTTTTTATCCATATCATAATAACCCACATACTACCCCACATCATAATAACCCACATACTACCCCACATCATAATAACCCGCATATCACCCCACATCATAATAACTCACATACTACCCCACATGATATAAACCCACATACGGTCCCACATCATAATAACCCACATACTACCCCACATCATAATAACCCACATACTACCCCACATGATATAAACTCACACACTACCCCACATCATAATAACCCACATACTACCTCACATAATAATAGCCCACATAGTACCCCACATCACAATAACCCACATACTACTCCACATGATACAAACTTACATATTACCCCACATCATGATAAGATATCAAGAGTGATGTCAACGCATCCATACTCAACCCAACACCATAAATAACAGGTACCGAAAGCCGTATCACCAATGTGCCGACAAATAAAATGAAAACCTTTTTGCATCTTGTTCAAATACATCACAAACGTCAAGTACACCCGGGCCTTACAAGACCAAAACCTAAAATATATTTCCTCATGTCAAAGGTAAGATTTTCTTGGAAGCAGCAGAATATCTCGGTGGAAGTTGCAGCGCAGTAACACCAATTAGCTTGCTCTGCGACTGCCCTCGACTGGTTAGTTTTTCCTACTTCGATGCCTTCCAGTGCCCTTTCGGATGACTTCATAACCAGCCTTGATTTGTCATGACATTGCGCAAGGTTACCAGCACTATACAAAAGAACACCAATATATAACGCCGCTGCCTTAGTCAGGATATAACGTAAAATTACACACAACACACATGTGACTGACACTGGTATGCTTAATCCTATTGTTTATGCTTCTCGATCAACTATTTTGCAGGTTCCCGTTTTCGTCATCAACGAGGTTATCGGCCGCAAATATCTGATTGTGAGTTAAGCTGCAGAAGTCGGGTTTTGTTTGTTCTTTTGTTGGAATGATCTTGAGCCTCCATGTTTGTGTATGAAATGCGGAATTATAAACATATTGAGCGATCAAATTGTACAAAATAAGACGAATTGCATACCATTTTGGATCGCCTTAATATGTCTTACTTGTATTTTTATTCGGTTCAGCGATAAAAAATTGCCGCTCTTGAATCTTTTCACAGTGACAAATTGTTTGCAATGACGCTGTATAAGTGACTGTTATTTGTGGGACATTTCATGAGTGGCCTGCATCATAAATACATCGTGTCTTCCAGGTATCTGATATGGGTGACTCTATGTTCGTTCATGCGTTTGGGGCGTACTTCGGGCTGGCAGTCAGCTTTGTGCTGTACCGAAAGGATAGCAACAGCTCCAACGCCGGCTCCAACTCCGTGTCCGACCTTTTCTCCATGATCGGTGAGCGCATTTCAGGCGGCCCGTCTAGAACTGCCCGACACTGAGTGATGCCTTGTGCTCTCAGGGTACAGACCGGCCGAATCTGAGTAGTTTTCTTCAGTTCTTGGAATTCGGTTCTGTAAACTGGCCACGAACTTTGGTGATTGGGTGTTCTGTAGCTTATGGAGGACATCTGACTCTGTGTCGGGCTGGGCTTAGGAAATATGCATTGGTAATGCTGATGGCCCAGTGCGGTTTCAATTGTGGAAGTGCTGTCTGTGACATGTCCGTGCCGTTCGAAGCACTCTTGAGCAGTCCGCATATTGCTAATAGGAGGGTGGAGGTGACCTTTGCTGGCGGGACTTTTGGTCGAAAACAGAGGAAAGTTGGCCTAGTACAACTAACTATTCTCGAGCAAATGTCTTCGTACTATGGGAATAAGTCACGCTAAGCCTGGCTAGTGTAGGCGTTCGTGTACTAATAAACGCGCTCAATGTGGATTATGACGTCATTTACCAGCTTGTCGATGAGATCCAGCGGCCTGCAAGATAAGCTGTTCTGCGCGAGAGACGACCAGTAGCTAGCACACAACACGCGTTGTCTGACGTCAGCTAGTGAGTCAGCAAATGTTCAATCGCCAACTCGGCTTTACGTTATCCGGTAGTGTTCGGCTGATGCGGTCGTCTGTGATTACTGCCTGTGTGATTAAAAAGATTTCGCTCCACCGTAACGTTTTTTTATTGTGTTGTGACTACAACAACCAGAAAATATCAGCTCCAAAAGGCAGCTCATGATGCATATACTACTCTGTTGTACCCGCCAGTCGTAGGGCTGAGACAACATCATATTTTTTGCAAAATTCCTACAAAATTCCTAGTTGGTCGGCCACTGTCACTGCAGACATAGAGATACCAGTCATCCAGCCATCCCAAACAGTTGGTCAGTGATGTGTGTCAGTGATGATGTGTCAGTGTGTCAGTGTGTCAGTGATGTGTCAGCCAGGTCAGTGATGGTCGCGGGGTCCGATACCATTGACCCCGCGGCGGGTTGTTCGGCTGGGCCGATCCCTTCAAAACAAGTTTGCGGTGGCAGCGGGCTATCTCGCTGCGATTTCCCGATTATGTTGCGGCGCGTTTTAGTGGGGTCGATAAGACGGAAGTGGTTGCTGCTGTTGCAACAGCACGTGAAGCCCTCATTATTTCGTGTCGGACTTGCCACTGCGGAGATATCCACCTGAATCGGGTTAAATATTGCACTAAGTGCTTAGCTATTGTAACAGTGTAATTTGAATTGAATTTAAATTGGCAACTTCTCATCGGTTGTTGAAATAATAAATATAGCGTTCTGACTGACAGCAAAGAAAACGTTCTGGTGTGAAGATGACCTGCTTCTAAAGCAAATGATGTGACGGGCATTGTGGATTCACATTTTGTTGTGTGACGTACTTGCTATGCATCCCGAGAGGCACTCTAAACAGACTTGTGTTCGATTTCGCTTCGACAGTCAACTCTGACTGTGACTTTTAAGGGAGTGCGTCTAGTCAAGTTAAGATTTTTGACTGTGCACGTAGGATGGTAGGGAATTCGATTTACAAATGTTGGTGTCATTGGTTTCTACAAATTCGCCTCCACGGACGAGATACTGTTACAGCCCCCAAATTTTCGTTGGTCTGTATGGAAGAATAAAGTTGTCGGGTAGCCCCTAAGCGCTGTTCACTACCCAACACATCGACGTCATTGAGAAGGCATTGTTAACTCTAGCCAAAGTTTTTTCAAGGATGTCGCTTGTCAGCGCTAACAGCAGCTTGCAAACGCGGCGATGATGGAGCCATTACGTCGATGGTTCTTTTTTTTTGCTTTCATTCAGCGAAAGGCTGCGAGCGTACGGGCTCAGACGTTTGGTACGGCTGTTCAGCTGATACCAATTCATGTTGGTCTACTATATACTGAGATGTGGAACAAGTATTGTGTCGTGTCAATGGGCTGCACGGGGCTCTAGGAAAATGTGATTTTTCTACGTTGCTTAGCAACCAAAATAATGGCCATGTCTCTATCGGGCAGTTATTCGTCACATATAAGCCAGTTCATTTGTAATTTCCTGCCCGCTGATTGGTGTATCTTTTAGGATTGCATTTGTTCACGCACAACCATCGATGGGATCGATACAAATAAGTAGATCAAATTTGTTGCAAGACCCAAATGCATACTTAGTAACCAAAATTAAGCATAGATAATTGCCAAAGTCCCCTCAGTCGTGTATTGAGAAAACCTAAAACATTACACACACTCCTTCTAAGTATGCAGGGCTTATTCCGACTTTGACTTTACCTGACTTTTACGAGTCGCAGTTTGCAGTGCGCATCACTCCGTTGCCTAAAAGTCAATGGTGTCAGTTTTGACTCTGGGGCCTTGCCTCAGTCCAGTATACTCAATTTTAGAGTCATCTGGAAATGAGCTTATTCCAACTGTTTGAGTGCATACACTGTCTGTCTGGATCCATTTTCATTCGTTTATGTTACATGTTAAGCAGTCAGACACCAGTAACCTATACACAGAAACCTATGGTATCATAAGCACATAAAACATGGTTTTTAGCAGTCAGTAGAACGCACCTGTGTAACTACTAGCATGAGTCATGCGTCCAAATTAAGTGTGCTGCCTAGTTGGCATGATACAAAGCAAAGTCCATCAACTGATGGTTGCAAACAGACAAGACAGTAGCAGAAGCCTTATTTCTCGTAGAAAAACCGAAAGAATGGAGAGGTGGCTGCGATTTGTAATACAATGCCTCCATTCTTGTGGTTTTTCTGCGAGGAATAAAGTTTTTACTACTGTATGCATAATGTTTCTCGCAAATGCACTTTACAATTTACGTAATTGCTGCAAACTGTTAAGCAACAGTCATTCGTTCAGAACTAGCCTTATAAGTGGACCAGGGAAGCATCAAAGGAAGGAAAAAGGAGCGTTTCAGTGTTCGTCATTTGCATCGATGAAGAACGACGAGCAACGACTCCCAGTAAAGCCACAGTAAAACTATCGCCCTGACCACATCTTCGTATGGCAACTGAAGTCGAGTCGACCCTCACTCTGGTTGCCGTAGTTGGCTCAACTATGACTCAGAATCCACAAAGCTTGCAAGGGAGTTGCTCCAGATTTACTTAGCCAAATTCTAACCGGCCCGGAGTTGACTCTGACTCAGTCATTCCGTTCAAGTCTGTCAACATGTTGCAGGGGTTAAAACTGACCCAGATGAGGCAGCGCGTATTATTTCGGCAAATAACTACTGAATCGAGCAGCCTCTTCACTGCACTTTAGTGGCTAAATCGCATACTCACACACCGGCAGTTCGAGTCTCGGCCGTAGACCCCTCAGTCCAGCGAGTCTCGGCTGTAGACCCTTCATTCCAGCGAGTCTCGGCCGTAGACTCCTCAGTCCAGCGAGTCTCGACTGTAGACCCCTCAGTCCAGCGAGTCTCGGCCGTAGACCCCTCAGTCCAGCGAGTCTCGGCTGTAGGACCCCTCAGCCCAGCTAGTCTCGGCCGTAGACCCCTCAGTCCAGCGAGTCTCGGCCGTAGACCCCTCAGTCAGCTAGTCTCGGCCGTAGACCGCTCAGTCCAGCGAGTCTCGGCTGTATACCCCTCAGTCCAGACACCGTCCCGTTCCTGGCGCCCTGGGTTAGAGCTGAGCCATGTGGTGCCCGTCTGCGGCAGGAACGCTGTTCCTATGGTGCTTCTGGCCCAGTTTCAACTCGGCGCTGGCCGTCAGCGATGACCAGCACCGCGGCATCATCAACACATACCTCTCGCTGGCCGCCAGCTGCGTCGTCTCCTTCGCTGTCTCTGCGCTCATGAGCAAGGAGGGGAAAACCACCATGGTGAGGGAGCAGAGCGCGGCGCCGCAACGCCTGGTGTTGGCCGTGTAGACCACTGACCCAGCAGGTCAGCAAAGTCTTCCGTAGTCTTCAGATCGACAGCTTTTTAGCAGCTAAGTGCTGTTAAAGGAAAATGTTTACAACTACCTATATTCCGCTCTTAGTCGCGTCTCAGCGCCGCTTGCCGCCACATAGATCTGGTGCTCACCCGGCCACCGTAACCCACGCCTGGCCCGGCCGTCCCGCAGGAGCACGTGCAGAACGCCACGCTGGCGGGGGGCGTGGCGATCGGCACGGCCGCTGACATGGTGGTCCGTCCATACGGCGCCCTCCTGGTGGGCTCCATCGCTGGGGCGATCTCCGTTCTCGGATACGAGGTGTTCACGGTACGTCCCTGGATGCGAGATATTTATGGTGCGTCCCCGAATGCGAGGTGTTCGCGATCCGTCCTCGGATACAAAGTGTCGGAGACAAGGTCGTTCTCAGCTGCGAAGTGTCCAGCAGTACATGCTCGTATGCGAGATATTCACGGTTTGTTCTCGGATTCGGGGTGTTCACAGCGTGTGCTCGGATTCAGGGTGTTCACAGCGTGTGCTCGGATTCGGGGTGTTCACAGCGTGTGCTCGGATTCGGGGTGTTCACAGCGTGATTAGGATTATTTTGGCGATTTTGATGTATTTTGGCACGTAAAGCATCGGTTTACGACGATCAGGCTAAATTCAGTACAAAATACCGGCAGTTCAGGCTAACTGACAACAATAGTATATTCCAGAGTAAACCAATCACCACTGGCTGAGTTAAGCAATCACTCGCGGCTCCTATTATCCTTGACATATGATTTAAATATGCCGACTTGAGGCCGTTGCCAATACATCTTAACACTTACTGAGCACCCTCACCATTTGGATTGTTAACGTACAAACAGGCTGATAGCGCCTCGGTGATTCAGGTCAGCCAGCTCACAACAAAATTGGGCATCACGCTTCGGAATTAAATATCATAGAAACGATTCACCCTCTCCTCCAGGGTGGTAAAACGTCCCGGCTTGGATAAGATCAGTGACAAAAATATTGATGTTTGTCCGGGCGCCTGACAGCTGGTATCGCGTTGCGCTGCAGTCAACAATTTTGCTTGCAGGAATTCGACCGATGAAAAATACACTCTTACCAGCCTTGCTTCACTCCTCCAACAGCACCAAACCTTGGTGATTCACCCAAGCAACCAGTGGCCAGTCGAATTGCTGCTGGTTGCCACCAATGAAAAGCACCAGGTTGTCATATGCGTGCTGTTTGCAGCCGGCGCTGGCCAAGCACTGCCGGCTGCACGACACTTGCGGCGTGCACAACCTCCACGGCCTTCCGGGCGTGCTGGCCGGCATGGTGGGCGCCATCATGGCCGCCATCGCCTCCGTCGACCAGTACAACGCCAGGTATGTGCACCCTTCTCCGCATGAACCTTGTGCGCCGCTACACTGCGCCTTGCTTGTGCTCCGCGATGCTGCTACGTATCCGTGAGTATTCTACACTGTGACACTCTCCGCCTCCCACCCCGCTGTGACGTTCTCCACCTCCCACCCCGCTGTGATGCTCTCCGCCTCCCACTCCGCTGTGACGCTCTCCACCTCCCACCCCGCTGTGACGCCCTCTGCCTCCCACCCCGTCGTAACTGTCTCCGCCTCCCGACGCTCTCCACCTCCCACCCCGCTGTGACGCTCTCCTGCCTCCCACCCCGCTGTGACGCTCTCTGCCTCCCACCCCGCTGTGACGCTCTCATGCCTCCACCCCGCTGTGACGCTCTCCACCTCCCACCCCGCTGTGACGCTCTCCACCTCCCACCCCGCTGTGACGCTCTCTGCCTCCCACCCCGCTGTGACGCTCTCCACCTCCTACCCCGCTGTGACGCTCTCTGCCTCCCACCCCGCTGTGACGCTCTCTGCCTCCCATCCTGCTGTGACGCTCTCTGCCTCCTACCCCGCTGTGACGCTCTCCGCCTGCCCGCCTGCCGCAGCCTGTACACCATCTTCCCTGCACGGGCACCGGCGGCTAACACCACCGATTGGAGCCTGGCGACAGAGCGTTTGGGCGTGCCGGCACCGCTGGGGCCGGCCCGATCGGCCGCCGCCCAGGGTGGACTCCAGATGGTGGCGCTCGTCATCACGCTGGTGATGGCCGTCGTCGGTGGCCTCCTCACCGGTCAGTGGCCTGGCTTAGCGTGTCAGGTGTCTTCGAAGGTCGGCCGGAGCTCACGGGAGCCCGTGGACCGGGGCTGGGGCGGGACCGCGTAACCTCCCCAGAAAGATACGTTCTCCTGGCAAGGTTCTTTGCTTTGTTTTCTTTTCTCTACTCTGCCATTCCTAACGGCCCATGTGGTCAGTTCCCCGTCGGTCTAAGTGGTATGTAAATTGGTGCCTGCGCCCGGGCTGAGTACTGGCTTACACCGGGATCAGTCGCAGTTCTGTCCACTCAAGGTGCCATCGATTCCTTTCGAGATGCCGTGTGTCAGAGTCGGGCTGGAATCACGTCAGTGGCTATGGTAAGTATTCAGTGAGGCGGAGCGGCTGCGCGCGACGGTCCTTATTGGCTAACTTGGCGGAAGTCCGTGACCAGCGACTTGTGAAAAACATTCAAGAGCCCAAAAAGCCATCATCCATCACTCATTACGACCGGCCGCTGCGTTTCCTGTGACTCATCAGGGAGCCTTGTTGTTTGAACTGCCCGCTGTGATAGACATTCAGCTGTCTGGAGCGTCTGGCCTCTGTAAGCTTGGGTGATTCCATGGATGATATCGATTTAGCTCCGTCCGGAGCTGAGCAGAAGTCGGATGACGTTTTGACGTGCATGTCACTCTCATACTGCCTTTTAACAATTAAATATATAAATATTCTCGCCTTCCCCGCAAACTTTTTGTGATGTTTAAAACTGTGTGTCAACAAACAGGCAAACTATACCTGTCAACCTCAATACCTTTATACCGTAACAATAAAGTGTTCGTTACCGAACTGCCGTTATTACGAACATCTGGCGTTTCACGGTCCACAGGTCTGGTCATGAAGCTGAAGCTCTGGGATCAGCTGGAGGCGGATGACCTTTACAGTGACAAACGTTTCTTCGTCGTCCACGACGAGCACGCCCATGAAGCGACGAACGGACACGGGGGAGACCAGGAGCGCGACACGCGCATGTGAATATTCCACCCACCGGCCACCAACATCTAAGACATCCACTGTCGCCTGCCACCACCACCATCGTCCTCAGGTATCCACCACCGTCTAGCACTAGCCACCGTCGTCGTCCATTTATATTCTTCACTTCACACCATCGTCCACTAACGTCTACCATCCGATCCACCGGTGCAGCGTCCTCAGTAATCCATCACGGTCCACCGCCATCCGCCGTCGGTCACCGTCGTCCACCACCATCCATCGCCAACCACCGACGTCCGCCTTCAGTTGCCACCGTCCACCGTCGCTTCGCAGCGCCGGCGGCCGACCAAGCTGTCAGGCATGTGAGTCATCCGGTAGTGAAGCTCTAAGACATCGTACGATGACAACATATAACGGATAAGTTCGGTACCAGCGCGCTTGTTATTTCGTCGATGCATAATAATGCCAGACAACCTGCGTAATGCGAAATGATCGCTGTACCCCACCGGGGATGTGCTGTATGGATGTAGTTTGAGGATTTGGGAGATTCAAAATGACCACTGAAGTCGAGGTGCCGGAAAAATTCAGTTTGGGGATTTTTGGGGGGAAAATTCAGTTTGGGGATTCCGGTTTTCGTATTATTTGCTGTACATATTTAGCGTGCGTGCTCTGTCAGCCGCAGCAGTGTATTAGGTTGTGCTTTCACTTCTTAGGGGTGACGGGTTAAGAGTCAGATTTAATTATAATGCCTAACCACTTGCAATCTGGGAAGTCGTACCTGGTGTTTAAATGACCTTAGCTGCTGTCCGGACTCATGGTAGTCACCACACTGCTGCATCATGTATCATGTGTCTACGTCGTATTCCACAGTGAAGGAATGGCTCGCATGGGTCCAGCTCAACCAGCAGTGATGAAAATGCGGTCAGTGTATCGACGCCTACAGGATAATCTGCTGAAGTAGAGAATGTGTTCTTTTGTCCGATTTTGCGCCATGATTTGTTCATGAAGCAAATACACCCTGGTGACAGAAGAAAATTACGCTGTTTGCAACATCTGCCTCCATTTTGAGGCTAAGACACAAAGTATGAAAGGCTGTAGAACTACCAAGCTAAACGACACTGCGTCGGAGAGCTTCGGCTTTTGCAGTGCCAAAACAAAACCGCTACTATCTGTAACAATGAAATGTTCATCATATGCATTTAATATCACAAGGCATCAGTCCAGACACGATAGACAAAAAAGACTTGGAGGGAAGACGCATAAATAGTGTACCTCCTCTGCCTACCGACAGTGGTAGAAAGGCGAGTTTTCACTGCAGACAACTATGTCGCAGGCACCTGAGTCACAGCAAGACGTGATCTTAAACATCCGAGAAAAACTAATACACGCGATGGCATTGCCGTCACGCAGTTACTCAACTGTTAACGAATTGCATGCTTTCGCTTTGTTTTGTGCTCTCGTCATCCATAAGTTTTCTCGACCAAGGAGGTCACACCTTACGCTGCAATAATTCTGCAAAGCTTTGCGTTAAGGCCGGCCCGGCGGGAGACGAGCACCGCCTACTGGTGCTTTTATGCCGCGGCGTCCTAGCGCAAAGTTTTACGCGAAGTTTAGCGCAAAGCTTTTTCAAGCACAAAAACCAAGTGGTCATATTTGCTGTGTTCGTGCTTTGTTGGTGTTGGGATTGATTTGCTGGCTTTCAACCCAAACAAATCTCGGACACAGCAAATCTGACCGCTTCGTGTTTGCGCTTGAAAAGGCATTGCGCTTGCTTTGATTGCACAGAGAGCTCATATGATCAGCATGTTTAAACATATTTATCAACTCTTGGGTTACCTCGACTCGCAAACATTGAGCTAGAATTCGCTTGTTGAGCATAATTAAAACACTAAGTAACAGTATTTTGCTTGTGCTGCGAAAAATATAGTTGGCCGGTTTTTATATGCTCATTTCTTTGAAGTGACCGGGAGACTTTAACCTCAGAAATACCGTTCTGATCACGCTGCATGAAAATAATCCAACTCATGCGCAATTTTTCACCCACGTAACTGACTCCCGCTTGCAATGTGGCGGTTACCTGCGAAGATCTCGAGCTCGAGACCGCTCCCACATTATGATAGTCCCCTAGGGGGCTATCGCAATGTGGGTAACAGCCTATGAAACACTACCTTAGGCCTTTGACTTCTGGGTGAACATGGCGGTTTTGCCAACATGCTGTCATTGGGGTTTTGCACTCAGCTGGTGAGACTGTGTGGCGTCACCGGCCTCTGATTCTGGCAGAAAGGGCGGACACGCATCGCGCGGAGCCGAGCACCGCGCGTCTGGTTTCCCAGAGGTGCAGCTTAACAGAAGAAGAAGAAAAAAGAAGGCGCAGGTATAGCCAGCACCTCCGGCTTTGCCAAGACAATTGTGGTGGTGGAGCATTACTGAACGTTGCGGCTACTGATGAACATTGTAGTGAGAATTGTGGTTATGTGAGCATTCTCAGAACATCACGGTTCTAGGTGTACATTGTGGGGAACATCGTGGTTATAGGTCAATACTGAGGCTTACCAATTTGCAAATCCAAATTCAAATTCAGATGGCAGAAAACAGGAGCATTCGCATTGATACCAATGTTCGCGTTTACCTCCATCCGAAATTGCTGGTTTTGTGTCGCTGCTATGTCGGTTGTTTAGGTGAATCCGAACTTATTTGGATAAGTGGATTTCTTTCATCAGAACTTATGCTAAGCAGTGTTAGTTGTGTGAGTCCCGACGTCTACCATCCCATTGCGCACTTCCAGGTTAACGGCAGAATTTGGTGGCAAAGCTTTAACATACCGCAATGCCTGGCACGGTCCGTTCTGTCCTCTTCGTCATCTGACCTTCAGTGCGGCCATAAGTCAGCGGGTGGTCGAAACATGAACCTGCTTTTGACCCATGTTCTTCAATTTTTGTCTTCAAAATCCGACAACTTGAGCTTTGTCATGATAATCGCATAGTGCGGCGAGACCGTGATTTTGAAATCGAAATCGACAAGACTACGTTGCAGAAAAACATGCCTTCTTAACAGCCCTCACGGAAGCAGTCAGTTGTCCTATTCGAGCTGTCTAGTTCTGCAGACATCAGGCTTCCTGCTGCTGAAATCGCATGAGCCGAAGATCGAAGTGCGAATCTGCACTGTAAGTGGGGCCACGTCCTCAATGTACAAATATAATAGATATAACATTTTAGCACAAATCTAATGTTTTCTCCTCCATTCGATTAACATGAAAAAACACTATTTTCCAAATGCTAGAAGTTGGAACATTTTGTGTATGAGCCTAGCAGAGAGCGCAGCGGACTGAGGTTATCTAGTAGTGAAGGATGAGAAAACGATAAAACCCTACTGACAAAATTTGATACCGATATCTGCAGACAATCACGCACTGTCGTTTCGCAAACCATGGGCCCGCCCATTTTGAGTGTTTTTGGAAGGAACTGTACGCGTTTTCCATAAACAACTATGTTAGTTTCAGATTCAGGTAGATCAAGCTAGTAGAAGATCAGTGATAGCAGGCAGCAGCGGCACAGGTAAGCTTTCTGACGCATGCATCGACCCATGTATATCGGCTGTCAAATGTGTCTAGGTAACACTTTTAGTCCGTGACAACAACTCCACTAGCTTAGTTTCTGGAATCATCCTCATCTACAATTCTACAGCTGACATCTCCAACATCTGATCGGCCTCCCTCGTCTCACGCCGCACATCCGACTATTTGAGGAGGTCTCTCTGTCTGTCAAAAGGTTGCAGTAGCGTTTATACGTGGGCGCTGAGATAAAGCGAATATGTCGCTGTCATCGAGGGTCAGAATGCTGATTGAAACGTCTGGAATGTATAGCCAGGTTCAAAAAGCAACAACATTTGGAGCGCAGCAATTGGAAGCTGAACACTTGACTTCGACTTGGAAAGCCGACGTATGACGGTTACAGCTCTTCGCCTTGGACAACGTATTATGGCTGCCGTGTGCCGCTGGTTTCGGAGCCTCAGTAGCTCAGCCGCATGATTACGGGGTATGGCACCCGTGCATGCTCGGCAAGTATTTCGCTAAGGTTATCACTAACGCCGCCCGCGCAATGTGCTGTTACTTTTAGAACCATTGGCACAGTTCCCGTGCTCTGCATAATGGCCTGGTTCCAGGACATGGGTATGATTGAAGCGATAGCGTTATCAGCGACTACTGTTTATTCCCTGACACTGCTTTAGTCCATTCAGTGATTTGCCCGTGTGCGCGTGGCAGAACTTCGTACTGCACCGGTATGGCCTTAATAATACGTGCGTGGCTCTCTATTTTTGTACGCTATTATTTACTATATACTACTATATATGCTACGCCATAATATTGTAAATGTTGTGAATATATAAATATAGAATAAATTATATATATGCATATGTATATATATATATACATATATATATGTATATGTATGTATACATACATATATATATATATATATATATATATATATATACGTATATATACACATATATATATATATATGTATATATACATAACTACGCTATTTACGGGCGTTTGACGCCGATTTTTTAAGAATTATCATGTCGGTTTGTGAGGTAAATTAAAGCAGCTATAGCATGGCTTTCTCAGGAGTGTCATAACCTGTCTACGGCAGTCGGGTATGAAAAAGGCGGTAAGGGCTGCCAGCAGGTAGTACCAATTTTTCGTCAAAGCTGTAACGGATCTACTCGTTACTGCCGCGCGGAAAATTGGCTTGCACACCGGGTGGCAATGCGGTCCTTCTGTGCCGTTACGGCTTCATTTCTCATCGGATTGGTGGCATGATGATGGCAATGAAAATTTACGCTATGCGAACGATTGTCTCGAGCTTTGGTTGGCACTATATCCCCCTGTTTATGCTGTCACTTTTCAAAATGATTACCATGATCTGCCTAGCCAGTGCGTTAGACTGCCTCGAGCACAAGGGTGCGAGAGGGACGGGTAGCCAGACAACTCTTTCATTTCAATCAAAACTGTGTCTCACACATGATGCCGGGGGGCTTGTGCTGGCTTACTGGCTCAGTCGACTGAATACGGGGTACTCAGCCTCTTATGCTGTGGGGTGTTTGATCCTGCTTCTTATTGAAATTATCCCTGTCCACTCATGGTGTGAAGTCTTAAAATAAAAAGACATGACATTAAAGCTAGACCAGTAAACCAGTAAGGCAATGAAGTTTTATTCTTTGAAGGCAAAACAATTTTGGGGTTGTCATGGTCTCCCTTTACGTTGGTTTTTGCTTAAATCGTTAAGAAAGAACAGGTATGGAAACGCGGGTTTCCTACTCCATGTTTCCTGGTTTAACGAGCAAAAAGACGCGAAAATGAACTGGTTGAGAACTATCAAAGTAACAAACGTTGCACCTCAAATTCTTCTCAATATTCGCATAGCAAAACGGACGAGCCGCACTTGTCTAAATGCCTTTCTGGATAGGGTGTGTCTATCTGTCTGTTCGTTGCCTTTTGCTATTTCACCCGTGAGCAGGTCAAACGGCAGGTCGCCTAGCGGTACGAACAGATAAAGTTGCTCGGTACCATTTCCGTCAATAAACGGCGCGTGCACGTGTTGCAAGTCGTTTTTTTGGCCAATCGGTTTTGCGTGGGCGGCCCAAGTACCGGACCGCTCCAAAGCCGGCATGAAGCCGCTCAAAGCCGCGGTCTCATCTCGGCAACGGCGTGTCGGAGCAACGCGAAACTGACACCACGGGATGGCGTATTCTGCGGGAAATGTCGTGATGATGCGCATGTGGCTGCACGTGCCACACGTCACGTGCACGGCATCGGTCAAGACAGATTTGCGCCCAGGGCCACTGAAGGTGTGAGTTTAACTTCAAAGCGTCGACCAACGCACGCGCCCTTGTGCCAGTGCAAGCCGGGAATGTGGGCATTTGGAAAAGTGATGCCACGCTTTCGTCGAAACTGTCGCAAAGGTAGCGGCGAAATTTGTATCACCTCACGCGCCGGTTTATTGCATGCTTCATTGCATGCATCCCTTCTT